AGCACTCAAGGAAGACTCTAGAGCAGTGATTCTCAACTTTGACAATTTTAAGGCATGTGGACTTCAACTCCCAGAATTCCACAGCCAGCATTGCTGGCTGTAGAATTCTGGGAGTTGAAGTCCACATGCCTTAAAATTGTCAAGGTTGAGAAACACTGCTCTAGAGCAGTGATTCTCAACCTTGGCAGTTTGAAGATGTGTGGACTTCAACTCCCAGAATTCCCCAGCTGGGAGTTGAAGTCCACACATCTTCAAATGCCAAGGTTGAGAAATACTGCCCTAGAGAATGTAGGCTCACACACTGTTACCTAGTAGCATTAATCACCAGTTAACTTGGGCTCAGAAGAACCTCAGAAAAAGGACAGAAAAAGTGTGTCTTCTTTTTTGAGGAACCAGTAAATACAGATTTTGGTAGCCTACTGCCTCCTCCTGTCATACGCAGCTGGAAAATCAACAAGCTCATCATGGAACTTTGGGCAGGGTGTAGAGCTCACTTTTTAACAAATTGATAATACACCCCTGAAGAATCTTAGCTGAAATCCTGAAAAGATGGAGCTAGTCAGAGATTCCTTTAAGGTGAGGAACTACAGCTCTCTAATTTTGGAAAACTACAGCTCCTGGCAACCCATATTAGCATTGCCAATGGTGAAATATTAAGTGATATAATTAAGGAACATCTGAAGAGCTAATGTACCATAGGTAATAGTGACCTAGATAAACCAATTATGAATCTGACCCAGTATAATGTAGCATTATATATTCTTTCCCAAACTAATCTAATCTAGTCCATCCCGTGACATTTAAATATTACAAAGCAAGTTCTGCACCCTGCCAAAAGCTCCATGATACTTGGTTTTCCAGCCACAGAAAACAGGAGGAGGCAGTAGGGCACCAAAATCTTTATTTGCGGGTTCCAGTAGTTTGCAAGTATAAATTTTAAGTCTCAATCATCTTCCAACTAAAACTCGTTGTACAACCCAACGTTGAAAGTCATGTTGACAATCTCCAAAGCACCTTCAAACATTGCAACCTAATGATAATTTTTAATATCACTACAGGAGAATACAATTGTATTTTAACTCAAAGGTGCTTTTTCAAAAGCCAACTGGACTGTTTTTCCTTTAGGACGATGTTTTGCTTCTCATCCAAGAAGCTTCATCAGTTCTGGCATGATGGGCGGGGGGGAGGGGGCAGAACCGATGAAGCTTCTTGGATAAGAAGCGAAACATCGTCCTCAGGGGGAAAAACAGTCTAGTTGCTTTTGAAAAAGCATATTTGAGACAACTATGACCTGTATGACTGAGAATCTCCACAGACACAATTGTATTTACTTTCATTTAAAGTACTTTTCATATTGTGCATATCATTTGGTTGGGGGGGGGATGAGGACCTCCAATCACTTTTTGGGGTGCAGTCCATCACTCAAAAATATTGCTTGTCTTTACATTAAATACTTTTAACAGACAACCTCGTGTAATGATCTGCAGAGATGCTGCCAATAGTGGTCAGCTAGGCTCTTTTCCTTACTAGGCCCTGCCTTGGCCACATGGTATTTTTAGTGTCTCTGAATGCAGAACCTCACAATGTCTTCTCTGTTCTCTGGTATTTTGGGAATATTTCCATTCCAGCAGCTCCAAATCCTCTCTTCAGCAGGGATGCAAATTACTAGTAAGTAAAAGAAATTGACAGATGATCTCCGTGGTATACCATTATGCGTAAGAATCCCCTAGAGATATTTGTCATGATTCACTTGATAAATTGCTGTTTTATGTCGTGCTAAACACAGGGATGGTCCATGAAATTAAAAAGTGAGGACACAGTTCAAGTTTGTTCAAAACCATCCAAGTTCACACATCATACTAAACTGCAAGTCTTCTTTTCTCCAAGCTGAAGGTCCCACATTTCTCCTGCTTGTCCTCATGGGGTATGTCTTCCAGGATCTCTTTGGGGAAAAAGGCAAGATATCAATAAAAAATATTACTAATCTATAACTCAGCCACTTGCAATGCACTATATACATGATAGTTAAACATTTATGCAACATACTGTATGTTTATCAGGACTTAGTATTTCACTCTGTGTTGCAGGGGGGTGACAGTAATAAACCCCTCTTCTAATGATCACACTGTAATGAATTAGATATTTAATTACATATTCCCTAAGCAAAACCACCAGCTTTATCAAAATAAAATGACAAAGCAATAACTAACAAGCACATTCTAAGCAGAAGTCTGAATCTAATTGCAGCCATGTTTTTAAAAATCTTATGAAACCTTAGTGCTAAGGAAAGTTAATTTAGAACATTTACAAAATGTATGAGCTAGTTTGGTGCAATGGTTAAGCTACCAGCGTAGGAACTGGGAAAATGTGAGTCCTTTCCAGCCTTTGACATAAAGCCAGTCCCTGTGCCTTAGCCCTAGAAAGGAGGCAATGGAAAACCCCTTCCAAAATCTTTCCAAGAAAACTGCGAGGAATTGCCCAAGCAGTTGCTAAATTTCAAAAATGATTGAAAGGCATATGTGTGTTCATAGTCCATCATTGCCTGAACTCATACATTATATCTGGCCATAACATATAACTTGTTAGGTTTAGCATGGCTTTCCATCTCCTAGATTCTCCTCAGATGAGTGAACTTCAATGTCAAGCATTCTCAACAATTGTGACTATGGAACTCTGAACACTGAAGCCCACCTATCTGAATGACACCCGGGTTGGAGAAGACAAGTATCCATGGTGCCTTTCAAATCATGATTTAATTGTAATGTTAGCCCAGGCAACTGAGACTTGTTCAAAAAATAATGAAACCATGGGTTAAATGGCATTAATTCATAGGACAGTGTGGGCCCAGCCATGGTTTGAAACATGATTTAAGGTGACTAAATCACTGAATGAAGTTGGAGATCTTTCAGTGAAAGAAAATACATGTTTATACAACTGATAAATCACAGTGCAACTTGGAAAGTCTATTTTCGTAGCAAGTGTGAAATTTAATATAAGAAGTAGGAGCCAACAATAAGGCAGAGGAGTATTACATGTATGTCCTGCTCATAGGTATATGACTAGGAGAAAAAGTTGCTGAATTTTACTGCCTCCTAGACATTCAGCTGTGGTTTTCTTAATCAAGTTGTTCAATAAGCCACAGTGGCAGAATTCATACTTAAACCACCCAAAGATCATACCTGTGATTATGAAAATGCATATTCTTTCCCTTAGAGATATTTAAAACTTCACACATTTAGCCCAAACAATCACAAACACAACTTGGGGGCTTTGCTCTGATAGTGCTCTTATAATTTCAAACAGTTGTAATCTGTTCAATCACTTCACAAGAAGAATAAGCTTGTGAACTACAGTATCCATATTCATCTAGTCTTCTCTAACAATGTCTCTGAGATATGTGAATTTCAGTTCCCATCATCCCATCCAGGACAGCTTTTTAAAAAAGGACTGTCTTTTGAGAATAACAGCTATATATACAAAGTGATTTTATCCATCCTGAATATCCTTATAAAGTCCTACCAAATCAAGGTTAGCTTGCATGATGCCCTTCAGAGACTTTGAATTAAAGTACCGTTAATTACAAAGGACTCTGGAGATTGTGTATTTAATGGCATTTCAGATTGTTTAGTTTTGTAGTTTATATCTTTATTCAACAGTTCCAGTATTATGGCAGAGGGGGGGGAACCAGTCAGGTATCATAATATATATTAAAGAAAGCTGACTAGCATTGATGATGTTACCTAATCTGGGTAATAAAACGTCTGCAAGAAAACAAGCAAGGACCCCTTGTGTCAACCCTGAGCTACAAATATTCTCCTTTATTTAAAACAAAAAGCCTCTTCAATCAGCTCTGGTTAAATCTCAGTCAGTATCTGACTCCAAATGAGTAGCTGAATAAATAAATAAACCCATAGATTTAGCTGCATCATCTAACCAGGCAAACTCTCCCAAACCGTTGACTCTTTTTCAAAATGGAAATGTGCAATAAAAATACAACAAGGGAAAGAATAAACAGTGTCTTCAAACCACTGACTTTCGCTTCACTGGGGGATTAGAGGCAGCAAGGAAGAAAAACATCTGTTGAATATCTCTCTCTCTCTCTCTCTCTCTCTCTCTCTCTCTCTCTCTCTCTCTCTCTCTCTCTCTCTCTCTCTCTCTCTCCCTCTCCCACGCAGTTACATATAAGTTGCTGCCTTTCTGCCAGCCCCTCCGCAATTCCCCACTGCCCGTGTCCACCAGGGCGCCATGAGTTGCATCTCAAGCTTTCCAGAGCCGGGGCGTCTCGGGAGGCTAAGCTGGACCACCCGCTCGCCTTCACCGCGATGGGGTTTATCCCCCCCCCCTCGCTCGCCCAGCATTATTGCATGGCTCCTCCTTCGCCGGTTCTCCATCTCCCCAAGCGCGAGCGGATCCCGTTCGACGGGCTTCCCAGGACCCGGCGCCGCGCTCATCACCTGCACTCCTCCCAAGCACCCGCGCTCTGCTGCCATTGGACCAACTGCCTACCGAGGCCCTCAAGGCACAAAAGGCGTTGCTAAGTGCCGTGAGATTATTTTTTTTCCCCGTGGCTTTTTTTTCTTTTTCTTTTTTTTTTTTTTTTTTTAAGCCTTCCGCTCCAATTAGGCGTCCTTGTTCTTCGGAGGTGAATCTCGACTCACTTTGCAACGTGCGGATCGGACTGTTCTCTCCTCCGCTGCTAAGCACATCTCTCTCTCTCTGCTCCTCGTCCCTCCTCCTCCTCCTCCTCCTCCTCCCGCTCCTTTCGCACTGATGACTTGAAAAGCTGGGAACTCTCCGGGTTTCGGGAGCTGGGGTGGGGTAGGGGGGAGGTTAGATGCCTCTTTGCAGTCATGCCGCGGGTGACCACCATCCAAGAGCAAGAAGGTGGAGGGTAAGCCGCCCTTTGTCCGGCAGGAGAACCATGGCTCAGATCGAGAGGAGAAAAGAGAAGGCTTAAAAAGAGAGAGAGAGAGAGGGAGAGTGGAAGAGGACTCAAGAAGATGAGTTTCCCCAAGGAAGATGGGGTGAGCGGCTTGTGCCACAAAGCTCTGCAGATCATCTCCGAGCTGTGCCTGGGAGGCCAAGTGGAACTGGAGAAATGTTCGGGCATTTTTCCTCTGGAGACCTCCAGCCAAGGTATAAGCCGCACAGGTAGAGTAAGTAGGCAGCTCGCTCGCTCGCTTGTCCCGGCTTCTTCTTCTTCTTCTTCTTCCTTCCCCGCCGCTCGCGTCTCCTCTCGTCCGCCTTCTGGGCGAGCGCTGCGCGGTTGGCTGACAAAAGGCAGGAGGACTCGCGGAGAGGCGTGGGGGTGGGGGGGAGAGAGAGAGCCAAGTTTCCCTCGACTAATGGCATCGGGGTTGTGTGGGCGTTGGGAAAGTTGAAGTTTTCCCCTCTTCCTGCCTTCTTCTCCTCCTTGGAGAGGAAAGGCCAAAGGCGAGCGCTTCGCCCGGACTTGGATAACGGGGCAGGGACCGGGAAATCCCGGATTCAACCCGAAGCGTGTGGGCAGGCGAGAGGGCTTCACTTCCCAAGTCACCCGAGAGTCAGGGAAAAGACGCGATCGACTCGGAATCTCTAATGATTGCGGGGAGAAACAAAAGGGGAAAGACTTGGTGAAGTTTGGGGGCTGCGGACGTTATGCTCCTTTTTCTTATATTCTCGACTTAGTCGATTTCTGGTGTCTTCGACCGTCTTAGGAAGCACCTTTTATGTGTCCGGAAACACATAAGTTAAACTTGCGCCTTCTGCCTTACATTTTCTCCCCTCCCCTCCCCTCCCTGCTTTGCCTCTTGCTAACCAGCTCTAAAAGGAATTACTGCCACGGGTTTGTGTGTTTACACAAACGACGTCTTTTTGTGGTAATCTTTCCCCCTGGGTTTCAAATAATTGAGGATCAAAGGGGGGAACAGCCTGCTTTTATTGCAAAAGGGGAGAGACTGTTTTTAAATAAAACTTCTGATGTCACATTTATTGTTGTTGTTGTTATTATTATTATTATTATTGAAAGCTGTATAGGAACACCCCAAC